AAGCGACAATATTGGCAGTGGTGACACCCGAGATGGAGGCTGCTGCCCTGAAGGGAATGCTAGTGAACTGGGTGGCGAAGGGTGGAAGAAAATGCACTGTGGTCATTTGAACTAAAGCTCAAAGATAATCAGATGGACTATGGAGTGTCCCATCCAGTGAGGGTTATCCATGTTTCCCAGATCAGTGTCAATAAAGCACTGAAAGTGATGAATCTTCCAGCTAAAGGCCAAGCAGGAAACCCAGAAGGCCCCTGACAAAGAAGACACTCTTGGTCTGTAACTATGGAAACACTAAGGTAAGGACCAGGCCCAGAACATAGCTGTATGAGCAATAGAACATTCATGAAGGTTGAACCCTCAGACTAAGCGTGCTTGCTATCCCAAGGTCAGGGTACTCTGGCTGAAACATTTTGGAACCTGCCATCTGGGATGGGTACATCTGGTCCGAAAGAAAGAAAGAAAGAAAGAAAGAAAGAAAGAAAGAAAGAAAGAGAAAGAAAGAGGAAAGGAAGGGAAAAAATCTGCCTCCTACAGCTGACTCTGAACTTGATGAACAGTCTTTTTTTTTTGTTTTTGTTTTTGTTTTTGTTTTTGTTTTTCGAGACAGGGTTTCTCTGTAGCTTTGGAGCCTGTCCTGCAACTAGCTCTTGTAGGCCAGGCTAGTTTCAAACTCACAGAGATCCGCCTGCCTCTGCCTCCCAAGTACTGGGATTAAAGGCATGTGCCACCACCGCCCAACTTGATGGACAGTCTTAAATTCTCCTTATGCACCTAACTGTCCATGGCCACCCCTCATCCTCTCCTGTCCAGCCTTCTCCGCTTCCCTGTTTTGCCTGAGATCCCAGTGTCTACAGTTGCCACCATACTACAAATACAAGGGTTTGCGCTGGGCAACCTTTCGTGTCATGTTCGGTCTCACCTCACCGATGTGACTTCCTCTCACTTCCTAATGTTCTTGGCTGATGTAGGATGTGTTGAGGATGGCTCGAGACCCTCTGGCGGGGTGGGCATTGTTCACGACTAAGCGGACCTCAAGCTATAAAGTGAAAAGTAGCCACTATGGCATACAGCTCTGAGTGCGGGGGAGGGGGCTACAGAATCTGCAGACGGCTGACTCTGCTCCTGGTCTAGGGACTCAGCCCTGAAGACACGAAAGACTTGGTACTACTGGCTCAGAGGACTGACAGCAGGAACCATCTGGAGGCCATTTCAGACGCATGCCTGGGCCCAGAGGACTGAGGACTGGACTGACTCCAGGAGGCCTCTTCTCAGCATGGTGGCTGAAGTCCACGTCGAAGCATCCTTTCAAGCAGGAGGATGTGTGATTCCAGAAGCCAGGCAGGAGCTGACCTGTCTATAGGAGACAGATTCAGACCATTTCTGGTCTGGATATAGCCTTTCTTTTCTTAGCGCCCACTCACGTAATTGGAACTAGTGGGCAATTTGTACGCTAAGGATCATATCTCTTTGCATCTAGGTTGTTTATGATTCTCTGTTAAATTTTTTTTGAACTGAGTAATTTCCTCATTGTAAGTCATGCATTTTAAAGCTAATTCCACCATTCCCTCTGACCGTTAAGTCAATTATCTCATCTAGGTTCTTATGATATCTTTTTTTGTGTGTGGCTTCCGAGGTTCGTGTTTCTAAGCGCACTCTCCCACCTCAGGTATCGTAAGATGATAGCTGCCCTTTCTGTATTCTCACAGTATGTTTACACATGAGTTTTGTGAGTAACCATGATGCATTGGGCTAGCAGAAGAGGGCGCCCAGGTCCTGACATTTTTCCCAAACGCACAAGCAATTGTCAGTGTGTGCTCACTGACTGATCTCTCCGCGGACATCTGAACTTGCTGAGACTGAGAGTCTCTGTCAGCGCCACACAAACACATGAAAATCCTTTGTAATCATGGAGCAGAACTAGTTTATGGAGTTTATATGACACCAGGAAGTCTGAGTACACACAGGTACTGGGCCATCTGATCTGGGCCTGTCTGGATGTGAGATGTTGGATTGTTCTCATGCCCGCTGATCTCTGTCTCTTGGGTGCTTCTGTGTGACAACAGCAGAGTGGAGTAGCAGCTGCAACAGAGATCACGAAACTTGCACAGCCTAAAACCCTAGTTGACCCTTTAAAGAAAGCATTTGTTGATCCCCTTCTCTGCATTTACTGTGAGAATTCTAGCATCAAGATATCCCGGGGAAGGATGTTCTGAGACCTCAGTGGTAGAATGCTTGTCTAGCACATGTAAGATACTAGGTTTCACTGCCCTGGACCCTAGGAAAAAGCCACTCTTGGGAGACAAGAGCTTTGTCAAGTCCACTGAACTTATTGACTTTGTTATGCAAGGCTTTTCCTGGAGCTTAACGGAAGCGTATATGAAAAGCCTCCTCCTGAGTCTGAACGCATTCTTACTTGTGATCCTGCTATCACAAAATGGTCTAGAGTCCGCTCAAGACTCCAGCATCAGCATCACCTTAGAGCTTGACAGGATGGAGTACACCCCAGACTCTTCCTTAGAACTGTTTCCCAAACTCTCAACTTCTCAAGGTTCTCAGATAGCTCAGACAGCCTTTTGAGCTGGCAGCCCGGGGATCTTTTATGAAAGAACTACCAGGATGTTTTGTTCTTATCCATCCTGACCCATCCTGAGTTCAGGTAAACATATGGAGCACACATCTTCAGCACGCTGTCCTGGGACGAGCAGGGGTTTTGGCATCAGATGGTCCTGGATTCAGAAGAAGGATCTGTGCTGCAAGTCTAATAGATTATTTAATCTGTTTAGTTCATATCTTAAAAAATTAACTAGGCTTCTAAGCAGGCTATGTGAGGTTTACACCCTCCAATTCAAATTTACCCCGTCACTTGTCTTTTCTTCCCAAGAGATAATAGCATCAAACAGAAGTAGCTCCCTCTGTCTGTCAGTTCAGAACCCAACAGGTCTTCACTGGTGGCTGTCAGAACTGACAACTACCACTAGGGGGCGGGAGCAACCTTTTTTAGGTTTAGGAGAGCAGGATTGTGATCACTAAACCCTCAGTTTTTAAAAACTTTGGTGTGTTTATATAAACCTCATAAAAATTATCTTTAGACAAGTGAAGTATTACATATAAATATTGGTGTGAGGAGGTTGCTGGTAGTTAAACTTGGTACAAGCTAGAATCATCAGATAAGGAGGCTTAACTGAGAAAATGTGGGCAAATCTGTAGGGCATTTTTCTATTATTTAGTGACTGATGGAAGGGGTAGCCCACTATGGATGATGCCACCCCTAGACTGCTGGTCCTGGGTTCTGTAAGAAAGCAGGCTGAGCAAGCCATGAGAAGCAAGCTGGCAAGCAGCACCCTCCATGGCCTCTGCATCAGCTCCTGCCTCCAGGTTCCTGGCCTGTCATCCTTCAGTGATGAAGGCTGATGTGGAAGTGTAAGCCAAACAAACCCTTTCTTCCCCAACTTGCTTTTTTAGGTCACCGTATGGTGTTTCACTACAACAGTAACCCTAAGAGAGTGGCTAAACAAAACAAAACAAAACAAAAAAAAAATGCATCTCCTTAGGAACTCTAGCGGGTTCTTGGAAAAAGAACTGAAGAACCCGGAGTTCATGCCAGCTCCTGGTGCTGCTATGGCAACCAACGCTGGCTGTGATAAGGGAGCTTGCTGGTGAATTAAAGGGCACAGGCTGGGGAATGAGAGTCTAAGACTACAGTAAGGGAAGTAAAGTCAAAGATAAAAGCGGAGAATGTCGCCAAGCAGTGGTGGCGCACGCCTTTAATCCCAGCACTTGGGAGGCAAAGTGCTGTTCAAGGCCAGCCTGGTCTAAGGAGGGTGTAAGGTCTACAGAGAGATGCTCCAAAGCTATGTGCAGAGAAAACCTGTCTCAATAAATAAATAAATAAATAAATAAATAAATAAATAAATAAATGAAATCAGAGAATCTCTGGCTACTGAATGCAGACATGATTTTCTGGGTTTTATTTATTTTTTTCGAGACAGGGTTTCTCTGTACCTTTGGAGCCTGTCCTGGAACTAGCTCTTGTAGACCACGCTGGCCTCGAACTCATGGAGATCTGCCTGCCTCTGCCTCCTGAGTGCTGGGATTAAAGGCATGTGCCACCACCGCCTGGCAATTTTCTGTTTATAAGATGCCTTTGTCTAAAGATAAGCAGTTAGTTATGAGTATGAATTCATGCGGAGCACCTAGCAGGGAATGCACAGCTGCTGGCAGCTGATGAGGTGCTTAGAGGGACGGCTAGAATTTTGTCTCAGTCCGGAGCAGGCACTTGCTCGTAATCTTTCAGGAGATGCTGTGGCAGGAGGATCAGGAACTTCCAGACCTGGGCTGCAGTGAATTCCAGGCCAGTTGGGGCAACTTCAAGGTGTGCACCATCACTGCCCCACGACATTATTACATCTTTTTGGGGGGAAGTGGTGGGACAGGGTTTCTCTGTAGCTTTGGAGCCTATCTTGGAACTGTCGTTTGTAGACCAGGCTGGTCTCGAACTCATAGAGATCCTCCTGCCTCTGCCTTCTGAGTGCTGGGATTAAAGGCGTGTGCCACCACCGTCCAGCTGCATATTACATTTTTGGAGTCTATGATCCAGAACAGGCTCCAAAGCTACAGAGAAGCCCTGACTCGAAAGACCAAAGGAGTCTATGAATGAGAAGGGCGGTGATGGCGCATGCCTTTAATCCCAGAACTGAGGAGACGGGGGCAGGCGAATCTTTTGAGAATTCAAGGCCAGCGTGGTCTACGCAGTGAATTCCAGGACAGATTAGACTGTCTAAAAACAATTTCTCTGTTTCAGCGTTCTTGGACAAGTTAATTGCATTGTGTGAGATATAAACATTAAAATTGGGGAAAGTGGGCCAGGCGGTGGTGGCATCCCAGCACTCGGGAGGCAGAGGCAGGAGATCTGAGTTTGAGGCCAGCCTGGTCTCTACACGAGCTAGTTCCAGGGAAGTGACGTTAAGCCGGGCTCTGCGTGCTGGAGGGCCGCTGCCACCATGGGCCGCGAGTTCGGGAATCTGATGCAAACGCGTCCCGTAATCTCCTACAGTTTATCACCCTTTGAGCAGCGCGCCTTCCCGAACTACTTCAGCAAAGGCATCCCCAACGTGCTGTGCCGCACTCGCGAGTGCATCCTGCGCATGGCGCCGCCGTTTGTGGTGTTTTATCTGATCTACGCCTGGGGGAACCAGGAGTTTGAGCGGTCCAGGGTGAAGAACCCAGCCATGTACGAAAATGACAAGTGAGCAGCGCGCGTCTACATGACAGTTTCCTGCCCGAAAGACCCTTCTCTGCGAGAGAAGTCTATGTGTCCTGAAGATACAATAAATTACTTATGTTATGGGCAAAAAAAAAAAAAAAAAAAAACTACAGCAAAACCCTGTCTCAAAAAAAATAAAAACATGGGGAAAGTGAAGGCATAGGAATACTTTACTGCTTGTTTGGTTCTGGAATCACCTCAACGATGTCTAAGAATGCGTCCCCCACTTTACAGATGAGCAGAAGGGGACAGAATTGTCTCCCTGGAAACTGGCATCTTCATTAATCCTTTCCCACCTATCCTGGAACTTCCTCTGGACCCTCTCACTTCTACATCCCACTGTATCCCCAGGCTTCAAAGCTAATTTCAAACAAACAAAATGTCCTGGGTAAGGTGGCACACGCTTTTTATCCCAGCACTCAGGAGGCAGAAGCAGGCGGATCTCTGTGAGTTCGAGACCAGCCTGGTCTACAAGAGCTAGTTCCAGGACAGGTTCCAAAACCAGAGAAACCCTGTCTCGAAAAAACCAAAAAAAAAAAAAAAGAAAAGAAAAGAAAAAGAAAAACCAGAGACAGCCCTCAGCTGCAGCGGCATATGGCACATAAATTCCAGCATGGCAGAGGCTGAAGTACAGAAATATAAAATGCCAGGCCACCGTGAGCTTTAGGCAATCCAACCTCAAAGATGACACACTCTGAATCATTTAAGAAAATGTAAACATTTATTGAAATTGTCTTAGAGAAAACATAATCCCGAAGCCTGATCCCATGACTGCCGCCCTCCCAAGGTCCACTCCACAATAGAGCCAGTTTTTCTTAAAAAGCTCAAACGAGCTTTTCTCCCCACTATCCCAACTCCATTCATCTCCCGCCAATTCTCTCATCTCTTTACCGGTCATTTTTAAAGCAGGAGTGATCCTATGTCCCCTTCAGTTGGTTACTTCTTACTGTAATACTTTGACGAAGCCCAAGCAAGAATCAATTTTAAGTTGGTAAGCATGAATTTAAGAGCCTTTGCCCACTCGTCCTCCGTGTTCAGGTGGGTCCTGATGGAGTAGCATTTCCCACTGCCCTTGGCATCCTCCAGCATACCTCCCTTCACGTGGATCCTGTAGGGCAGGAAGAGGCCTTCCTCCTTCTTTAGCATCTTCACAAACTGCTGAAGGCAGTCCAAAAAGGCCTTCATCCCACGGTCATACTTGTTATCATAGAAGATGTTGTGGCTCCCATCTGAGAACAAGAGCAGCATTTCCTCACCAGCCAAGGACTTGATGTAGGAATGGTCCCCGCAGGGAACTAGTTGGTACCTCTGGAATTGTAGTCCTGCTATCTTGGATAAGGTGAAGAGCAGCAAGGCTGTCTGTCCCCAGGCGGCGTTGATCTCATTCCATCCCACCTGGATGTCAGGGATGCGGCCCAACCTGAAGTTGTTGATAATGCCCAAGGGACCCTCATCCAAGATGGTAAACGTGATGTTTAAGATGTCGGTCTTGCTCAGGCTCTGCAGCTGCCTCTGGACATACGCCAACTGATTCTCCATACTGCTCAGTTCGTCCGTCAGCTCCAGCTCTTCCATCTTCAAGGTAGCGTAGTCCTTCAAATCCTGTTCCTCCTGTTGTTCGAGCTCCCTGCTCTCTGCCTCGGCTGCTTTGAGTTCGGCCTCTATTCTTGCATGCTGGTGGTCAACGTCCTGCAGCTCCTGAGTCAGCCTTGCTTCTTCCTGCTCCAGACTCTGCAGCTCAGCCAGAAGCTCTGCATTCAAGGCCTCCCGCTCCTCCTCACTCACCAGGGACTCTCTCTCCATGAAACTTTTGTACTTCTGATTGTCAGCTTCAGCTAGAGTGAGCTGGGCATCTAGCTCCTCCAAGAGGCCGTCCATACAGTCCACACAGAGCGGGTGCTCCACATCCTTTTGGCCAGAGACGATTTCGAAGGTCTCTAAGATAGTATTTTGGATACTGTCCAAAGTTCTCTGGGTGCTCGGCTCACCAAGCAGAGTGAAGGGGCAGCAGGCACTTTCCTGGGCTGTTCTGCCATGGTCAGGATGGTGTCTTCTGGAGGTCCTGTCCTCTAGTTTCCCAGAAACTGGCATCTTTGCGGAGGGGCTGGCATGATGCTGGGCTTCCAAGGACCTTTTCTGTATTGCAGAGAGGTCCGGTGAGATTTTCAGGGGCTTGTTGCAACGGTGGCACAGGAAGCAGGTGAAAGACATCCTGGAGATCAGATCTGCACTCCCACCAGAGTCTAGGTGTCTTTCCAGCCCAGTGAGTCTTTGGAGACCTCTCTCTCCTACTTCCTTATCACAGTTCCCTACTGGGCTACCTGTAGAGCTCCTACAGCTCCCAGAGGCCAGCGATTCTCTGGGAAAGGAGATGCTGACTTTATTGCTTTTTCCCTTTTTAAAGTTCTCAAGACACACCTTAAAACTAATTTCTGGCCTTCAAATCTGGCCACACTTTATCCCACCTTAAAATGCTTAAGGCACTGGGCTGTGTTAGCACGTGCCTTTAATCCCGGTTCTAGGGAGGCAGAGTCAGGTGGATCTTTGTGAGTTCAAGGCCAGCCTGGACCGGCTCCAAAGCTACAGGGAAACTCTATCTCAAAAAACAAATAAAAAAATTCTTAATTTCTTTATCTCATTTTTAGAAAAATTCTCCGTGGTCTAGTGGCACGGGCCTGGAATTCTAGCATTCAAGGGTGGAGGCAGGAGGATCTTGAGTTTGTTTGTTGGCTTATTATTGAGGCAGAGTTTACTGTTGTGTGTAGCCTTGAACCTTTCAGACCAGGCTGATCTTCACCTGCCTCTGGCTCCCAGGTGATAGGATTAATGGTGTGTACTGCCACACCCAGTAAAAGTGGCGCTTGTCACCAGGCTAAACCTTGCCGTGTCGGGACAACCTAGAGCCTATACTGAGAGCTTGTCTTAAAAAAAGGTGTGGGGGGGGGGAGAAGAGAGCTCAAATATAATAACACATGCCTGTGACATGCCTGTGATCCTAGGATTGTTGTCAGCCTGGTACCAGGCCACCCAGACACACAGCAAGACTGTCACAGAAGCCAGGCGATGGTGGCGCACGCCTTTAATCCCAGGACTTGGGAGGCAGAGACAGGCGGATCTCTGGGAGCTCCAGGCCAGCCTGGTCTACAAGAGCTAGTTCCAGGACAGGCACCAAAGCTACAGAGAAATCCTGTCTCGAAAAACCAAAAAAAAAAAAAAAGACAGTCACAGAAATGAAAAACAAAAAGGGACACATGGTTGTAATCTCAGCACTTGGGAATTTAGAGGCAGAAGAATCAGGAGTTCAAGACCGGCCTCCACTACTCAGTAACTTTGACACTACCCTGGCTTCTAAGTGGCCCTGTCTCAAGGTGTAAACCCCGTTAGGAGGCAGTGGCTTACTACTTTGCTCCTAACACTCAGGAGGTAGAGACAGGTGGATCTCTGTGAGTTCTCTAGTTCAGGTCTTCCAGGGCTACACAGGGAAACCCTGTCTTGAGAAAACAAATACATATAACATGCATTTATTATATATGTATATATAAACTTAGCAAGAAGCCTGATTGTCTCAGTCTGACTCCAAGTCCAGACAGTTTTTGAGCTCTGCTCTTCCTGTCTCTGATCATGACTTGATTTTTTTTTGTTTTTTTAAGACAGAGTTTCTCTGTGTTGCTTTGAGCCAGTCCTAGAACTAGCTCTTGTAGACCAGGCTGGCCTTGAACTCACTAAGATCTGCCTGCCTCTGCCTCCTGAGTGCTGGGATTAAAGGTGTGCGCCACCACCGCTTGGCTTGATTTTAGTTCTTAAGTGTATTATAGCGTCCACGTACCACAATGAGGTCAGAAGATAACTCTCAAGAGCTGGATATCTTTTTGTTTGTTTTTTGGTTTTTCGAGACAGGGTTTCTCCGTAGCTTTGGTGCCTGTCCTGGAACTAGCTCTTGTAGACCAGGGTTGGCCTCAAACTCACAGAGATCCACCTGCCTCTGCCTCCTGAGTGCTAGGATTAAAGGCGTGCACCACCACTGCAGGCTCACAGTCATTTCTGAGTCTTCAGTGCTCCCCCAGGGCTATGTAAACATACAGATCCAGTTTCTGAAAAACAGTGTATGAATTAGGAAAGGAGTTTGTTTGAAATGTAGGTTCTTCTCTGGGAGCTGAACTACAGATGGGCATCGAGGCACCTGTGCCACCACGTGTTTCTCCTCCATTCAACAGAGCTTAGGGCCAGCAGTGGGAAAACAGGTGTCTGTTAGGTTTTGGAGGGTGCAGGCTCCAAAAATTCAAGAAAATATACATGTGTACTAACGCACACATACATCCCTGCACCCACTCACAGCCATGGCCCATGTTTTAAGGACAATTTTTTAGATGTGAGGCATTCAGAGTCTACTATCATTTTGTCCCTTCCTGTACGATGGATGACCTTGCCACTGCACTATCTGTAACTAAGAGAAGCACAGTTGAGGACTACACACCCATCCAGCCTTCTTGTTCCCCAGATCCAGAGGCTGGGGAGGAGCTGACCAGACCCCCTTACACTGAAAGGTGATTCCTAGAACAGTTTTGTTTGTTTTTATTTATTTGTTTGTTTGTGTTTTGTTCAGTGTACACCCCCAGCGCCGACCCAAACCTCGCTAGTCCCAGCAACATCCGCACAGCTGGTTAGGGGGATGGAAGGAATGGTGGCTCAGCCTTGAAGTCGCCTACTACTGAGCTGTGTAAAGTTGTTTCTCCCAGTTATTCTGTGGGGACACGCGAGCACGTGTGTGCTCTGACGCATATATGGGGGCGGTCAGAGGGCAGCTCGCTGGAGTTCTTTCTCTCCTTCCAAACCTTGTGGGTTTCCAGAATGGAACTCAGGGCCCCCAGGCTTGGTGGCAGGAGCCCTCAGCTGCAGAACCATCTCACAAGCCAAGTTGTATGAACTTTGACAAAGCTTGACCACCTCTCACACAGGTGTGGCCAACCTTTTGGTACTGGCACGGGT